TGATTCATAAACACAACTCCGCTTTTATCAGATTTTTCTTTTGATTATCGAAAGGTTTTATCCATGTTCTTTATAAAGGAGGAGACAAGTTACACAGAATGGCCGACTTATATATTGTAACAAGGCAACGTTTTTATTTCGGAATGATGTAATTGTGTTACTATTAACAGCTGTGCCACTATAAATAACTATGCTAACACAACATTGGCAAAGTACAACATTGTTCACCCCTTTTAAACATATCAAATCATAGTAATGTCAAAATTGTCAAAATATGTCTTTGAAAAGAAAGATGAGTATTAAAAATCGTTTTTTATCGCAGTGAGCTTTTCTGGCAACAGTTAAAAGAGCAAATAATCATAACTTACGTTTTGTACATCGAAAAACATTTGATCTGGTAAGAACAATCATTGACAGCCTCTCTGTGCATAGATAGCTCCTTTCTTTGTGAAATGGCTTCGCTTTTCCAAGGACAAAACCATCTACAGACTGCCACCTCTCCGTTAGTTTGTCATGGAAATTTGGACCGTCTAGCAATGCAGGTAAGCCTCATTGGCAAAAATATGCATTGTATTGTTGTGCCTCTTTTCGAGCAAACGACACTGTATTAGAAAGACACAAACTCTGTCATCAGAGTACTGTTTTCCTAATGTATATCGGTTCCTGTTTAAACTAGTGTGTTTCAATAATGTTCAACTTTATTCCAAAACAGAATCTGAGAAAAAAACAAGTTGTTGTTCATTCCGAATTACCAACATGTGTAATTGGTTTTTTTTAGTTGAAAAAACATGTTCACTTACTTCCTGACCGACGCCGCAGAACATGTCTGAAAGCATACTGATGGTATGCATAAATAAGCATACAAACAATTTCGAGTTTCCATGCATCATCTTTCTTGTCAATTTAGTGCAAAGTGATGTGCGCCGAATAACTGATTAGATATCGTGAAAGTTGCAGTGTTGATCTTAGTTGTAATAGTGGGGGATCACTGGGCGGCGAGGAGCCACGTGACTACCTAAATATACTGACATTGGTATTTCGACGTGAACATCTGTTGCCACTGTTCTCGTTTATGGCTGAACATGAAAGAGAAACTGTTTTGATTTGAAAAGGTCAACCTCGAGTTTTCTTGTCACTACCGTCATAGATATCATTAATATAAATCAAACTAAATAAATCACGACGAGGCTTTCTAAAAAGCTAAGCATTCTGTACATGATATAATAACATGCAGACTCCTAGTGACCGATATACGGAGCTTCACTGTCAGCAATTATTAATTAGCGACTTCTTTGGACTAGGGATCGTTCTTGTTAAAATTTGAGGGGGATTGGTGACAGTGTCGCTTGCAATTATTTGTATACTTTTGCCAGTTATAAATTATGTTAATTGATGACATAGTTGCTCGTAATTATGTGTATATATTTGGCCGTTATTCATTACCGCGAGTAGTTATGTTTAACACTTAGGGTAAGTATTATTTGAAGTAAGTTGGGCACGAAATGGTCATGAAATGTCCGACTGTGTAAAAAATAGAGCGGTTTCGAATTGGACTGATGCTATCTAACATACAACATTATACGTGTTTTTCCTATAAAAAAATAAAAAATTGTAAAAGGTAGACCATTCCTAACTATCTTGGTATAGTAATACAAAAAAACCATGAACATCGGACGTATAAATATTAGACTAGCAAATATCATGTGCCCAAAAACTGAAACACGTTAATCACGTATAAGTAGATCAATTCATAATTAATATTCAGCATTAATGCTTTTGTTCATGGGAATTCTGTAAAATAACGACTTTGTAATTTAGCAATATTTACCCTTCCAATTATCACTTCAATTGTTTAGAATGTTTTTTGCATCATTATTTGATGAAATATTGGAATACATGAACACTCTGCCACCAAGGCAAAAAATGAAAGTATCACAAATGGTAGTCTAGATCACGTACTTTGTGTACATCTCTGACAAGCGTCAATTAGCACGGCTCCCATGTCCGAAATCTATGAACACACAATGCCATTTAGAAAGTGGTCAAATGTAACAACTGTTTTATTTGGGATAACACTTTTTTAGTAATGCTCGTGGGTGTTCCCCTTAACACGAACACGAACCGGTATCATCACTAATTGATTATGATTCATATACATAAGCGGCACTCGTGAAGAGCAACCTCCCCGTTGTGAGTGTTAGGTTACGCTAATAGCTCTTCCTCCGTATGGACCCGGGGTAGAATGTGTCCTCAGCACCCCATTGCTTGTCGTATGAGGCGACACAATTGGGCAACGCGTTTGCCGTGGGTTGCGCCCCTGTGTCGGTGTAGAGAGGTAGTCTGGTGATAGAGGGCACTGGTTCCAGCAATGGCGTCCCTTTGCCCAATACACAACTTCCACCCTGACTTCACCTAGACGGGTGGTAGAATGGGCCCGGCTCTATCAATCGGCTGGTAACGCCAAGCCCCGTGCATTATGTTTCATTTGCACAAATTCCTTTGGTTACCTTGTACCTTGTTTTCAACAAGTATCACATCTTGGAAGACATGGATGTGTCTCCTCATCCCGGTGGGCGCAACAGAAGCAAGTCGCCACGGTCAGGGCAAATTAGATCGCCCGTCGTTCCATTTACCGATAACATGAACAATTACCATCCACTTATACAGTGGAATTGCAGAGGTCTAAGGACCAATTTTAATGAATACTAGTTATTAGTACCGGACTTTCAGGCGTCAGCATTCTGTCTGAAAGAGGCATATCTCAAGTCAACAGATACGTTCGACTTGCATAAATACATTTCGTATCATTCATTTTCTTCCTCCCTTGTTAAAGCTAAAGTTTAAAACAGTCAAACGTTTATTACACCAAATAATCTTTAAAATACAGCAAATCTAGGAAAAGTCGACATTTGTCAGCTTAGTGACAAAAATGTGTCATTTTGAGACAGTATGTGTTAAGGTGAGAGACCGGTTACTGTGCTTGTCATAGAATATCTGACCAGTATGGATTGTTTCCTATTGTCTACAAGGTACAAAACTCACTAATCAGTCAAAAGCATATTATACTAAATACTATGTAAAATACAGTAATCTAGAAAAGTCGACAATGATCAGCGGAGTGCCGAAAATGTGTCATTTGGATACAGAATGTGTTAAGGTGAGAGACCGGTAACTGTGCTTGTCATAGAATATCTGACCAATGTGGATTGTTTTCATATTTCCTACAAGCTGCAAAAGTCCACTTAGCAGTCAAACGTTTATTTTAGCAAATGTTATATAAAATACAGCAAGTCTAGAAAAGGGCGACATTTGTCAGCCGAGTACCAAAAATGTGTCATTTTGAAACAGAATGAGAGACCGGTTAGTGTGCTTGTCAAAGAATATCTGACCAGTTTGTATTGTTTTCACATTTCCTACAAGCTGCAAAATTCCACTAAACATTCAAAAGTTTATTGCACCAAATATTCTTTAAAATACAGCAAGTCTAGAAAAAGCAGACAATGATCAGCTGAGTGCCAAAAATGTGTCAATTTGAAACAGAATGTGTCAAGCTGAGAGACTGATTACTGTGCTTGTCATATAATATCTGCCCAGCTTGGATTTTTAAAATATTTTCTATTAGCTTAAAAATTCTGCTAAACAATCAAATGTTTATTTTACCAAATATTATATAAAATACAGCAAGTATAGAAAAAGGCGACATTTGTCAGCCGAGTACCAAAAAATTAGTCATTTTAAAACAGAATGTGTCAAGATGAGAGACCGATTACTGTGCTTGTCAAAGAAAACCTGCCAAGTATGGATTGAATTCCTATTGTCTACCAGCTACACAAATCCACTAAACAGTCAAAAGTATATTACACCATATACTATGTAAAATACAGCAAGTCTAGAAAAGTCGACAATGATCAGCTTAGTGCCAAAAATGTGTCATTTTGAGACAGTATGTGTTAAGGTGAGAGACCGGTTACTGTGCTTGTCATAGAATATCTGACCAGTTTGGATCTTTTTTCATTTTTTCTATTCAGCTAAAGAGTCAAATGTTTATTGCACCAAATATTATAAAAAATACAGCAAGTCTAGAAAAGGGTGACATTTGTCAGCCGAGTACCAAAAATGTGTGATTTTGGAACAGAATGTGTCAAGGTGACAGACCGGCTACTGTGCTTGTCACAGAATATCTGAACAGTTTGGATTGTTTTCATATTTTTTAAAAGCTTGGGTAGTAGTAATGTCTGGGCATAATGTCAAACATTCATTCCAACCAAACATCTATCACATCCTGAGTAGCTTCCTCTGCCGAGAAGGGCGGTGGGGTAGCCAAGTTGTTAGAGCGTTCTCTCGCTGGAATATTGCTAAAAGTGGCGTAAAACCAAACTCTCTTTCCCATTTTTGTCTTTAGCAGGGACCGTTTTCCCCATATCAGATACAATTTTGAACGAAGGGAGACCAGTTTTTCATGTATCAGAGATAATGGTAGCACGAGAGTACATCATTTGCCAATTCCGGACACAATATTTTCACAAGAACAATATATTGCAAGGGATTTTATGGCAATCTTTTTTTACGTTTATGTCCCCATTAAGTTAGCAGGTATTCGATTCGAACCCTGGTAAGGGGATATTTGAGTAACAGTATGAAGACCACAAACAACAAATTCAGTTCTGTAATTATTTCGTTAATAGTGATCTGATAAATAAATTGTATTTTTTTCTTTAATGTATCAGGGGCGATCGGGTGGCCCTGTGGTTAAAGCGTTCGATCGTCACGCCGAAGATCCGGGTTCGATTTCCGACATGGATACAATGCGTGAAGCCCATTTCTGGTATTCCCCGCCGTGATATTGCTGCAATGTTGCTAAAAATGGTGTATAACCAAACTCACTCACTCATTTGAATGTATTCCATTCATATAGTTTTCATTATTTAATCAGAGGTAACTTCAATAATATTTCCTCCACATAAGCTAGCATGGTTATACCAGTAGAGCAGGATTGCCTCACCATTCCGCAAGCATCTGGCATTATCTCTATTTAGTTGGAATCGTACGTTTGGCACTGCTTTTGGCAGAGATTTCTTACGAATATGATTGTTTGGTCATTTTTGAGTGAGAGCGAGTTGGGGTTAACGCCGCTTTTAACATTATTCCAGTCACATCAAGGCGTGTCAGCGTGGGAGGAAAGCCCGAAGTGATGCAGGTCTCAGACGTTTACCACTTCAGTGAAACCCACGAGCACGGGTATGGTGCCGACAAACCTAGAAACATAATCGGGGTGGTCATGTTTGAAGGCCACATATACAGAAATGATGTCTACACAGAGTCATATCTTGATGCAGGGTAATTGTGAATGTCATAAGTGGAAATCAGCACAGAGCATAGCCAATGTGGAAACTGTGCAGTGCCGTGAGACCTTCAACAGTGACACGTCGGACACCAGTGATAGGGAGACGCATCTGGTTGGTCATCAGCAGAGTCCCGTCAGCATACGCCTGGAAAGAAGACGGTGACATTACAGCATAATGTGTACCGAAAAGGTATCATTGAAGAGACATTATGAGCAGGACGAAAATAATTATTTTCTATACACAAAACGGAACCCGTATCTAGTGTCGGGTGAGACAAGTGTCAATTGCTGTGTTTGTTTGTGTATAAGTCACCATAACTCACCATAAAATCAGACTCACTGATGTGGATTTCAATGACGTAGTTATTGATGTCATTGATTGAAACATCAAGCTTCACTTCTTCTGTACCAAAGGCTCCTCCCTGCCGTGAATTGAAGACGGCTCGAGTTTGGCTGTTGCTCCATCTCAAAGACAACAGGTACACAAGGTCCGAGTTAGGGGCTTCAAAGTAGACCTCATTGCTGCAATAACACACAGGATACATCGTACATAGTATGCATATATACTGTTTATGTTCCAGCATAAACAAAATTTGTAAGTTTATACCTGACCCTGACTGTGAGGGAATGGGAATGGCTTTACATAAAATATTAATATTGCTCTGTTATTGCTCTGAACAGTAATATCCACTGTCTCAACATCTAACCTGCATTAAAACGCGTGACGACATTTGAACGTGACGTTTCTGCAACAGCTTGATCCCACCCAAACAAAATCTCCTGAGAAACCTAGATTGATGAAACATTGTTATGCAGATATACAAATCTAAGGCGAGTATGTACTTTACATATTGTGCGATTACAAAACACTTCTGCTATGGTCCCTAAGTAATATGTAAATACAGTAAAATGCGTTGATAATGAACTGACAGATTTTACTAACTTATTTTTTTATCCCTGTTCAGATGTTGTGTGTATGCTTATAACGAACTACGGTTATAACGAACTTAAATTAATGGTCCATTTGAGTTCGATATAACCGTAGTTTACTGTAGGTTTACTTACTACTCAGTCGTGTCTCCAGACACTGCCAGTCTCAGCTTCATCCCTAAAGCAAGGTCAAAGTTCAAATCTTCTGAATATTCCATGGATGGAATCTGCTTTAAAGAAACGACATTTTTAGAAAATTCAAATAGGAACACACATGTATTTATTGGGTTCATCATATATATATATATATATATATATATATATATATATATATATATATATATATATATATATATATATATATGTGTATGTATGAAATCCCAATTGAAATATTTACATGTTTGTACACCTTTAACTGTAAACTCAATGTCAGTTTTAGTACTGTTTAGGTTAAATTCCAAACTGTCCATTCGGACATAGCATCTTTATGATGTGACACAATGTATCAATTGAGATGTCACAATTGTTATAGGCTGCCAGCAAATTGTAACCCAGGCGACACATCACTTGCGTCCAATGTGTAAAAGAAAAAGCAGTCGTATATGTGTATTTCATGTTCCAGTAACATGACAGTGGTAGGTAAATAATCGAGTCAGGTCGAGACAATCCAGTGATAACACAATTGGGATATGACGACAGGTCATCAACCAAGTCCCCGACCCTGATATCCCGATCCAGTTTGTAGTCTTACAACAAGCTTGGGCCAATTGCCCTATCTGGAATCGCATAGTCACATGTACAAGTTGAATGTAAGCTGTCGTACCCGATGTCAAAGGTAACTCATGCATTGCTCTTACATTTTCACAATCTCCAACTTTGTAATGTCATTGTAAACATGACACCGATAAACATAGCTAAAGGTAAGTTTTACCGCTTCTTTCGTCTACCCATTTAGAAAAATTTAACAAAATTTGTGTTGGTAATAGTCAATCTTATTCAATATATCTTATTCAATCATACCTGATGCCGACAAAGGGATACACATCAATGTGAACCTACCATGGATTGCCTTGCCATGCCTATATAGCATGACACACACTTGACTGGCACCACTTCCCATGATGCACCTGTATAACAGGATGACGTGTTGTCATCAGAGGCAATGATGTTGGTGTTGCAGACATCTTTGGGGTCAGTGTTGATGACGTTAAAATCTGCACGTGCATTTTCAAGTGTAAAGTCGGCACATGAAACTGGGGACGAAGTAGGAATTATTATATTTATATCAACCATCACAGACATCAGTGGTTAAGGGTGAAGTGAAGTGACGTGAATGAAATGGGGTTTAACGTCGCATCCAAAAGTATTGCACTTATATAGCGACGTGCATGCACGTGTGTGTGCGTGGATGTGTGTGTGTGTGTCTGCTTGTACCAGTCCAGACTAATGCGGGTTCTTTGGTGCTAGCCCACTGATATACCATGCCACTCTCCAGGCAGAGTGACACAAGTATCACATTTTAAAGTTCTCTGGTAGTACGTGGCCAAGGATCAAACCCACTATCTTCCTCTCTCCGACTGTTGCTCTGTCCACCAGACCACGTAGGTGGTGCAAAGAGCCAACTATAACTTTTGCAAGCATGCAATCTTAACACAGAGGATATGCACGAAATATACCAGTACCATCTAGAAACATTTCTGTATCATCAGCATAGATTATGTTAAACATTTTGTGACATTGATAAGCTTATTTGCATTATTATCATTAATCATTAATCATTATTCCCAACATTTCTGCATCGAGAAGGAATATGGAGACAATTGGTTTCCTTGTCGACATCACCTTTCATTATAGAAGAATGAAGATAGGTGTCCATTTTGTATGATGCAAGATGAAGCATGATATATATATTTTTTCTTCTATCAGGTCATAATAGATATAACAGTCCCATCTGGACATATTTCTGTATCTTGAGCACAGAATATGTTTAATTCAGTTTGATACGTTTTATTGCATTATCATCACTAATCATTATTCCCAAAATTTCTGCACGAATAGATAGGGGGACATTGGGTCTTCTTGTCTACATCCCCTTTCATTGTAGAAGAATGGAGATAGATCTCCATTGTGTATGATGCAAGAAGAAGCGTGATTTAGAAGTATATATATCCATTTTCTCATATTGGGCCTAAAGCCAAACGGTTCCAGTGACAACATTGTAAGTTGTTTTGAAACAGTACAAATGTCGGCCATTTTAAATACAAGGCATTCTACAACAAGAAATCTGTGTTTCATAAGTGTTTGCCTTGTGTGACAGTTATTACAAATCTTGCCTCTATCCCACATGCATATATACAGTCAACCACCGTTCAATCGAACTTTGATGTGCCGCACTTTCTAAAATAAACCTAATATTTTAAATACCTACCTGGCTTGGACTCCTTTTAGTTTTGTACCTACCCTATAATTTGGATTTACATAGATTCATGTTCAGTAGGCTATCCTGAATCACCCTGTAAAATCAGACCTTTGTGTCGTAGGTGTTGAACAAACTCTTTTTTTCTAAGCATTCTACAAGACTGAGCCTCATAACATGGGTCTTACATCCTTGACACAAGCAGTTAATCATCATATCTCATCGGTTATTCTCTAAGTGCCCGTTCATACTCACTTCCATAGTACTCCCAACCGGTTTCAACAGAGTCATCACTGCTCGAATCAAAGGCTTCAGTGTACAATTTACACTTTCTAATAAGGGGGTTGTACAAGACCATGTTACACGTTACCCGCCACTGACACTGAGAGAAGCACTCAGCCCTCATGTCCACCAGGTTGATCTCTTCTATCAGATTCCCGGCAAACATCAGATCATCCATCTCCAACCTTCTGTAGAAAGTCGCATAAGTGCAGCTGTCCGTGTTGTACGTTAATAGAGTTAAGACATACGACAAATTGAATCCAAATAAAGCGAGGATAGACGTTTGAAACACTTTCATAATGAATACTGCTCACAGAGCAAAATCTTCCGCCTCAATCAAAGCTTGCGACCCAGCACATCATATCCACATGCGTATGCGTTCTCTGTCACTCAGGAAACAAAACACAATTGGCGTGCCTATTTGCTCATCGTGCCTCTCAAGTATTTGTTGCCAGTCACTGAAAGACACGTTCAGCAAGCGGGGTCTCCAAGGGCAAATACAGTGGTGTGTTCAATCTGTAAACATATCGTCTCAAAAGTAGAAGGGATTTAGTATGTGTATTCCATTAATATTAATGTTTGCTTCCTTGTAAAGGGAAAGGTATTTATCCATGAACACTAACTTACCAAAGCCTCACACGATCGATACACGATTAACGTCACTGGGTATACTATGCCATTGAGTCACATTAATTAGTTAAGGCAGACAGAAGGAATTCAATACAATCAATACTGAGATGTGATTTTATTTGTGTCCTGATTTTTTTTTCGAATGGAAACACACACATATGTCTGGTAAATAACAAATAATTCATGAAGGAAATTCCGCCTTCATCTGTTACGTTTATCTGGCAATGTTACTGGACATGAGTATTTACTTGGGTGTTGTGTCTCTGTCTCATGTTTTCTGGATCACCAGTGCAGGGACTTGTTTATCAGAATCTTTATGTTGAAATGGTAAAGGTGAGATGTCTTTTGAGGGATATGACGAATGACCTGCAAACTTCACATTGGCAGCTTTCGATGACACTAACAAATAATTCATAACGGAATGGTATCATTGACAATAAATACAAATATAATTGATATTAATTTATATTAATTATTACCTATTTAACATGTGAAATTATATTTCCGTTCCTGTCAGCGGCCCCGTGGTCTGGTGGTAGAGCGTCCGCGTTACCTATTTAAAGTGTGAAATCGTCTTCTTGAGCTTCACACCACATGGCATCAGCAGTGTTCATTTTCCAGAAAGGGATTATTATTAATCATGTTTCCTTTCCGTGGTCTGAGCATGTCAATATGTTTACAGCTAAACATTAACTTACCCTGACACAACATGTGTATAACCCAGGGCATGTCAATAATTACACAGCTAAACATGGACTGTACGCTGACACAACATGTGTGTCGCCCTGAACATGTCAATACGTACACAGCTAAACATGGACATGTATAATAAGAGAAGTACCAACGGACTAAATGGAATTATAGATAAATTGCTCCATAGAACTGCCATCTAATTTCATCGGTGCCACCACTGCTCGAATCAAAGGCGTCAGAGTGCAGTCTGCACGTCCTGGTGAGTGGGTTGTGCATCACCAAGTTACAAAGCCCCCGCCATTGACATTGGGAGAAACACTCAGCCCTCATGTCCACCTGGTTGATCTCTTCTATCAGACTCCGGCAAATACCAGATCATCCATCTCAGACCTCCTGTAGAAAGTCACATTCGTAAAACTGTCCGTGTTGTACAGTAACTGACTTAACACGCAACATAATTTGAATGCAAGTTCCAGAATGTTAGACGTTTGAACTAAGTTTATAGTTGAACGAGTCTGACAGATGATTTTGTTCTGAGAAGAAATCTTGTTATCCGATGCTTCATATACATATGCGTGTGATTCTGAATCGCTGAGCGAAACAACACATCTGTCTTGCCTGTGTTTCTATGTGATCGTGTCTTCTCTTCAATCGTCAAGTTTACTGATGTCAGTCAATCGATGACGCATTCTATCTGTTAAAATGTGCATGTACTCCAAATGTGTCTGAAGGATTTAGTATGTGTAATTAAGAAATGTTGTAACTTCTTTTCATTGGGTGGAGATGTGTAATGTCATGGGATTCACGAGAAGGCAAACAGAATGATGCCAATGCAATCAATACAGAAACATAGCACAATCTTGATTTATATTTGCGTGTTTGGATACTCAATACTTAGCAAACGTACAGGAAATACAGGCTTCATTGGCGATTTAACTGGAAAAAGTGTTTACTGTGTGTGTGTGTGTGTGTGTGTGTGTGTGTGTGTGTGTGTGTGTGTGTGTGTGTGTGTGTGTGTGTGTGTGTTTGTGTGTGTGTTTGTGTGTGTGTGTGTGGAGGGGGGGCGACTTTGTTTGGTTTTGGTTCTTGTAGTATAGCGTCAAAATATTGAAAACCATATCAGAAATTAAACACAAATGACGCCCAGTGAGTTTAAGTTAAATAAAATAATAATAAAATATAAAAAAAAAAATATAAAAAAAAAATAAAAATATAAAAAAAAAATTAAAAAAAATATATAAAAAATAGAAAAAAAATAGAAAAAGAAAATAAATAAATAAATAAAAAAATGTATATGGAAGACATGTGGAGGACATTTCCAAATTTGAGGCATCACAGACTGAAATGATGACCAATGCAATATCCTTATGTGTGTGGCATCTGGTGTTTGATAGTGATTTATAACCACATGCTTATGATATAGTCGGAATCGTACTGTGGACTTTTTCTTTAGTAGATATTTCTTTTGTTCATATCAGTTGCCAAGACTACGACTCACATCCACAGATTTCATTCACACAATACAGACAATATACGGACAATATTTATATTGATACTAAGCAACCTAAGCAGAATACCTTGATAGTAAGGAGAGAGTATTGACCTTCGTTAATTGCTTCATAGAATAGTTAATACAGTATCTGATAAACTATACTAGCCTGTGATATAGCGTAGAGACGCTGTGTGCCAAAACAGTGACAAAGGCAATCTGCCGTAAGCCTGATACATGTGGTCTTTCAACAGAAACTAAATCTATTTTCACACAGCTTCTGTACTGTCTTTATTATCACCTATGCGACATATGTAAAACTTGTATAAATAAGAGATGAGAAACTGAAGCTTCAAAGCAAAGACTAAAATAATTTTGAATGCATTGTCAGGTCTGTTTCCTGGATCAACTCCCAGATGGACTTATTGTGGGTGCGCCGTGCATCGATAATTCACTATTAACACAATCAGAAAGTTGTGTGCTTTTGGAGCGAAGGGACGTGAGCTTTGCTACCATATAAGCGCATATAACAATTTAAAGGATGGTACATGTTATTTTCCGATTGCTGTTAAATGTGGCTTGTGTATGTTGGTGACATTGCTCTTGACAAAGCTTCTCTTTTGATTGTGCGTTTAATTGCTATTCCTTAAGTGTGTGATGATCCTATCCGTTCGAATTTCAGATTCCCTCTGATGTTGAGTATTGTTGTGCTAGTACCATACCCGTGCCCTCATGTTTCAGTGCTGAACAGATGCATATCATGGGTCCGAATTGCAGGGATCAATGCACATGATGTCAATCTTTGGATTGTCTGGTCTCGTCTCGATTATTTACAGACCGCCGTCATATAGCTGGAATATTGTTAAGTGCGGCGTAAAACAACAAACACACATTGCTGGACACCTGCTCTATGCATGATTTCATGTTCCCACCAACTGTATTCCCGAAGTGATGCAGGTCTCAGACGTTTACCACTTCAGTGAAACCCACGAGCACGTGTATGGTGCTGACAAACCTAGAAACATAATCGGGGCGAACCAGGATTCAAACACACGATTGTGTGTGTGTGTGTGTGTGTGTGTGTGTGTGTGTGTGTGTGTGTGTGTGTGTGTGTGTGTGTGTGTGTGTGTGTGTGTGTGTGTGTGTGTGTGTGTGTGTGTGTGTGAGTGCGTGCGTGCGTGCGTGCGTGCGTGTGTGTGGGTGTGTGTGGGTGGTTGGGTGTGTTTGTGTGTGTGTGTGTGGGGGGGGGGGGGGGGTGTGGGGTGTGGGTGGGTGTTTGTGGGTGTGGGTGTAGGTGTTGGATGTGGGTGTGGGTGTGGGTGTGAGTGGATGTGGGTGGATTAGTCATGGATAAACACGCAACAGTAGAAATAATTCTGCAGCCTATGTATAGTATACACATTCACATCCTTTTTTGTTGTGAGTCTTTGATGTGAGTCTAATCATATATTGTCTCTGTTTCATTAGAAGTCCACATCATTGTGTTTGGACAATGTCGTCTGCAATGTAGTACGATCTAATGTAAACAGTGATGTGGAAGTTACTATGTTTAGATGCTTGTGTAGCCAGGTCTAACCTTGACTCTATTGGAGTGTTCCAGTACAGCAAGACACTGTGTACACTGCAAGAATGGATTTAGGCTATTTGAGGGGGCATTAGCGTGCCTCTCTCATCCCACATTACATCAAGTCCAGCAAATGTGTGAAGATCACTTTTGACACTAGATATCAAATCTAAGCCTATTTTTGGAATTGCTGCTAGGTACATATTATTATTCTCGTCTTTATTGTTATAACCACTGATAATGAATTTGGTACTGCCATTGGTCTTGTACTGCCATTGCTCTTTTAACTTATTGTTTTAATTAGGAAGTTGACACGTAACAGAATACAAACGCTTGATTAAAATGTATCAATTTGTCTTAGTTGTCCAAGACAATGCACACCGAATCTCAGTTGTTGAGTGTAACCAGTGAATATTTTGGTCGAAGTTCCATGAACATTTCTTGAAAATTGCGTTCAGTTACTTGGAAACTGGTACTTCAAAGGCAACACTAACACAAACACGCATTGTTATATCTTATATCCTCTCACTTCAGCTACCACCCTTTGTTGGTCATGCAGGCTCACAGCCTTCAAGCATAGACAGGAATATGCAGATGAGAAGCTGATCACACATCAATGTTAAGACACTGATAACATAAAGTGGGAAATTTGGGACCCTAAGTTCCTGACACAGCATGTTATCCTTCTCACATTATATAATTGTTGTTTGAAAATTACATTACAGTTTGATACTTACACCTTTTTGTTATGAACTTTTCTGTGTTAGATTTAATGATATATTATACTGTAATTTAGGTTCATGTCAACTTTAATCTGATATATGGCTGTGCTTTCTTGTTACTCAGCCCAAACTGTATAATAACTGAAACAGAAAGGTTTCCCCTTCATTGTTTCAATTAGCGCCTAATTCCCATCTGGGAATTTGTAATATTTATGTATGTGCCCTAACCGTGTGTCTGTGCATTATACGATCCATGTAGATCTTTAGGTGTACTGGTATTCCGACAGTTAATGTACGGACGACTGGGAGAGAATTGAGAAAACGCCCGGAGATTGCGCTTGATCTCCACTCACTGCCTGTATCTGAGCTGCATCTCTGCTCACCATGATGAGCTACATCTCCGTTCACCCAGGT